CCCCAAAACCCCAAAACCCCAAAACCCCAAAACCCCGAGTTGCAAAGTTTGGAATTATGAAGTGAATATTTGAACAGATAAACATTTAGACTCTATTAAAATAATTAAGTTAATAATCTATAAATTGGGAAAATTAATCAGGAAATTGATAAAATATGCATAAGTTTATAAACTCAGGTGGAGGAGCAGTCTAGTCTCCAACTGGCCAGATCAGCATTAATAAGGGGTCCATTTTACCCCCGCAAATTCAAAGCCTTACTAATTGATCCCTTATACCTCAGAACTTCTTGGATCTCTAGCAAGATCCCAATGGTAATTTTCAAATAACTCATATTCTAGAGAGTGGAGATACTAAAGACTGCTGGTAAGTCACTGAGTCATAATTATTTGGATCATAGCCTTCTCATAACATTCAGCAACAGCATGTTAAGTTCTAACCGTTAAAGTAATTTCAAAGTATTCAGCCAAGTCAAGAATCTCCCTAGATATAGCCCTAGCAAACTATTTTACTAGCAGGGAAATCTACTTAATAGAGTTCAATCACTAGCTTTACCAACAACAAAAAGCAGATGCTTCAATCTTCAATCCAAAATAACCAAACATCAGCTTAAAATATAAGCACAAATTTGACCAATTAGCAGTTCATTTCTTCCTTCAGTCAAGTCAATAATGAATTCTCTAATATGAATCTCTGTAGCTAAACTTTTTAAAAAGGTACTAAGCAATAGCATGCCTTTAATACTAAAGAAGGGTTAATGAAATACCAAGATTAGCAACTTCAATTACAGCAATAATCTCAACTTTAATTGCAAAAGTAGCAGCAGTAATCTCATCAATTTTAATTAGAGACAGATCAGACTTAACAACGTAAGTAATAAATTAATTTATAATATTAAATCGCTTATTAATGGAAGCCGGCGCACTTGATATGAGTTAATACATCCCTCTCTATTAACACTCATTACTATAGATTTTGGCTAGGCATCCTCACAATAGTTTGTTGACTGGAGCAATATATTCAACACTCATGAGTCATATGTTATAATTACAAAGCCAGAGGAAGTCCAAGCAATTTCTTAAGCCATTCTGAAAACGAAACCAGATCCAATACTTGGAGTTGATTGTGAAGGCTTAGCTAAAGGCAGACCTCTCTCTCTTTTATAGGTATGAACTTCATATAATTTCTGACGATAATCTACTCTGCATTATTATCCTACTCAGAAATATTCAATTAATCTCTATTATAGATGTACTTTGCCGGGAAGTGTTATCTTTTTGATCTGTTAGCAGTAAATCCTTTCGTCTATGGCTTGAAGGAAGTGATGGAGTCAAAAACTATCATGAAAATATTCCATGATTTTTGTGAGGACCAATCTGCACTCATAAACCAATACAACTTGGTCTGCTACTATGTATTCGATACTCAGATTGCTCATAGAGTAATACAGTAGGCGATTGTGAAGACACCAAAGTTACTTAACTATAAGGATAATAATATTTCATTAGCTGATCTTCTTAAGATGTATATTGATGTTGTGCATACTAAAAAGCATGAAATAAGTGCAAAAATGAAAAATGATGATGGGTTCTGGGAAAGAAGACCACTAACATAGGATATGATAGATTACGCTACTCAAGATGTGTGTTACTTGCCAATGGTTTATCAGAAATTGTTTAAGGAGTATGGCTAGTTAAAATTGATTCATTAATTCTATCAAAATGGGCAGTAATACTATGAAGAGATGACAGTTTTTTCCAAAATAATGCGAGATACTGGAAGTTGTGCAAAATACGCTTTCATTAACAGACACATATAAGACATTTCTTAGTTAACTGATGGCTCAGTAATCTAAGCATTTATTAAGAACTACCAGGAGTATGGAGTATATTGTTCTCTTAATGTCGGAGTATCTGGTATAGTTTAAGAAGACTAGAGTGTCAAGCAACTAAGATAGTATTTTGATATTGGAGACATTATTCAAGTCTAAGTAGAGGGATAAAGAAGGTCTGGCCACCTGAAGTTGAGATTTTAGGGTCCATAAAATCCATCGATGTTCATGCCTCCTCAGGTAAATTAAAACTTTTCACCAGTAAAGGCATTCAAACCCTATAATGTAAAACCAACAGACTACTCTTATGGTCCAATTAATCACAGCCAGCAACCAGTTCCGATCAATTAAAACCAAATGAACCACTTCCACAGAATACAAAGTGCTCCTTTTCATCCATCTACTCATCAGCCAAGCTCTTAATCTCTAAATATACAAAGTCCTCTATACTTTTATCAACAGAACACTCAAATGTACGGAAACAAGAAGAGCCAGAAAAGTATGAATGTCTAGTCTCCTGGTAAGATTTTTCATGTCATACTTTTTTGTAGAATTCGTTCCAAATTCAAGTTTTAGCTCTTCAAATGGTGGGGATAGTACTCTAAATAATACTTTTAATTCTGAGTGGACTGGCAGTATGCACTAAGGCAACAGTAATTTAAACAAGACTGTCAATCATGACATTCAAGAAAGTCCTTTCAACTTTGGTTATCCCACTCCACAAGATGGATAAAAGCCACAACAGAATATGATAATTAACAACTCTACTAATTCACTAAATGCTAACAATAAACAAAACCAAAAGACACTCAATCCTGAGAAAAAGGTTAGCAATTAATCGACATTTGCTAAGTAAAGTCCTTAAGGAATGAATGATTAAATGGGAAACTTAAGCCAGCATGAGGAATTCAAGAGAAGTAGCTCATTTATCAATAATAACAGCAACAACGGAAGCAACAGTCAGAGGTACTTCCAAATGAAGCCTCAATAAGACAATGAATTTATGTACAAGCCAGGAAGAATGTAGACTGCTAGAGATGAGCTTTAAAACTAGCAATTCAACTACACCCAAGGTTCTCAAGGGGGACAAGTAAAAGGCTCAAGATCTACTCCATAGAAATAATAAATTCAAAAAAGCACTTCATCAGTTTTGAATACTTAATCAAATCAATCAGATAAGCAGGAAATTATGAGCTTACTGAATGATACTATTGCCAAACTTAACATCAACCAGTCATAAACTCAAATGAAACTTGTCGTTTAATAAAATATCTAGCAGCAGAATAGCACCAATCAATTCCAATAGTCACAAGTTTCTTAAAATTCTTAATAGTCACAGCCATCAAAGACAGGTTTCAACTAAGGATAGACTATTAGCAGACATCCTGGTAGCACCAATTATTGAGTCGGTAGGGACTGGGTTCATCAAAAAGATGAAGTGACCACTCCTTTTTTATCCAGTCTTTACCTTTAATATGATCCTTCTTAATATCGAACCAAATTTTCGCTCAAACATAAAATTTTGACTGATTAGTAGGAAATGACTATATTAACTGGTGCTTATAAATCTGAATTGTAAAATTCTGCTTGCAGTCAAATAAATTCTTGTAACAACTATTAGATGATGAAACAACAATGACTATCTATTTATGATGAAATGGATGAGTAAAATTGTAAGAATTATCAAGGTTAGTTTTGAAGAAAAGACTGAATACAAATAAAATGGTCACTCTTAAATATTATAATACATAATTACCTAAATTATTATTCCTTAAATATCATCTTAATACTCTCATATGTATTCATATATAATTACATCTAGCTCATATCTATTAGATATTGCAGTATAATCCATATTCAATATGGTTTGACAAAAGCACTCTTATTAAGAGATGCTATTCTTTCTAACTTCTTACTCTAAATCGTAGCATCACGATAAGATTTTCCAAACATATTTTCAGCAACACTACCTTTTCTGTGACCAGTATACCCAGCAACTGGGAGAACTAATGAACCCTAATCATTTGAGTCCTCTGAAAATATTCTCTTGAATCCATCTCCCAATTTCTTGAACTCATCCTTGTCAGCAAGATTTTTCTCTATCAAAATTGGCCTCACTTAAATGTCTGCCTTCTACATAAAGAAATTGTTATTTCTAGGATTTATCGATTTAGGAGGACTCATAGTAACTCCACTTGGATCAAAATAATTGGAGTTTCTTGATTTCTAAGTGAGATGATATTGATCAAGATTAACATTGTCTGCAGAGATATCTAGCAGTTTTGTTCTTGATCGATTATCTTGATGATTTAGTGTCATAGTATATTCCAAATAGTCACGTTGATTTGCAAGTTCAGGTCTCTCCTTTAGTCGTCTGAAGTTTTTAGGTGCAAAAGCTTTTTAATTTTGAGTCATATATCTTTTCTCTGGGGTTATGTTGAAACCTCTCTCGATCTTATTATTCATGCTTGATGCTGAGCATTTAGTATAGCTTTTACCATACAAATTCTCAGCATTAATCCCAGGCAAGAATCCTTGGTAGCCTGGAATTTGCTATTATCTTATTTCATATTTTGGACCTCCGACCCAAGAAGCAGCGTTCCGACTTTAGTTACCTATCTGCATCATCTTTTGATTGTTGTAAGCATATTAAGGAGAATCAGCCTAGCTTGAAGATTAATTATTAGTATCTCTTGTTAGAGAGTTACCACCATTTTTTAAATGAAAATTTCTATTTAAACTTATCATTTTGCCTTAAGGAGTACCACTAAACATCTCATATTATTATAGTTGAGTCTTTGTTGCCTCAGCATGAGTGAGTCCAACAACATCATTTCTATAAGGAATGTGCCCGGTGTATCCTGGAGGAAGAAATTATCTGTTTTCAATAAACATCAAGTAATCTACTCTGAATAAATAAAAATATCAGCAATAATATTATATAAATAGATTTATCTTAATATTACTGTCTGTCTTCAAAATAAAATGAAACTGGGGTTTTGGGGTTTTGGGGTTTTGGGG